AACAAAGTAAAGTTAAGTGTATCAAGATCATTTACAAGGGCTCTGTGATCTTAGAAAAAAAAGCCCATAAAGACTATATTTTAACAAAACGGAGCCTGGCAATTCATGGTGCCCTTTTCCATACCAGATTAATCGGACAAATTGGTCATAATATAGAACATCTGACCTGATGTGACTACAGGCGGCTGATGTAAATCACAGGCAGGAATGGCCCATGCACTCAGAATGCTCCGAACATTTTAGAACCAGGCAATAGACTTGCAAATGAATGAATATTACGTATCTTAGGCAAAATTAATCAAAGAAGGACATGATTAAAAGGGATGGCAAAGAACAGTTAGACTGAAAAAAAATATCTTCATTAGAACATGAGAGAAGTGGTGTGACACTATTAATAAGCAAGCGAACATGCCCAAGAATTTAACTTTTTTCTTAAAGTAATGACAATAAAAAGAGCTGAATTAAACATTTCATTCAGGAAAAATTAGGTTTTTAAGTAGTTATAATGTTCACTGCCTATGTATAAAATATTTATTTCCCTAATCAGCAAGCCAGTCTATTAGAATTCTCCTTGCAATAAGGCTGTGTTGCCAGGAGCTTTGAAAAGTCCATTTTTTTAGGCTAAAGTTACTGATCTAAGGAGTTTCAGCTTGCCTCTTCACAAATCTGACCATTTCTATACAGCCCAAACACTACCCCATCTAACGGTATTTTTTGGCTATTTTCCCACTGACATAAAAGTCAGTTGATTTTTAATTATTCTCACTTAGAAATGCTGTAAAATACATGTTTTCTCTTAGTTGAGCATGTTCAACATGGTAACATTCTGTGTTCTCACTCTGCTGCTCTGTGTTAGAATGGATAGGGAAAGGCCACACCCCACATCACAGTTGTTTTCCATATGCAATGAAAGAGAGGGGCACATCTGAGGGGGGTTGCCTCTCAGGACATTTATGCATGCCAGGAACCTGAGCAGATGCAGACACTGCCCCTTCTGCATCATCCACGAGGAAACGTCTCACCACGTTTTCTGGGAGTGCTCATTTGCTCAGGCCCTGTTGGGGGCCCTGGAACCTAAACTCAAGGACTTTGTACCACAGACACCCACCACTCACTTTGGGGTGTTGAATGGACTATTCTGTGGGACTTTTTCTCTGGAGGACATTGACGGCGCCTGGCGGGTGCTGTGCTGTTTTAAGGACGCTTTATGGTGCGCCAGAAAGCGCCTCATCCACCAGCGGGAGAGGATGTCCATTGAGGACTGCCACAGACTGATCCTCAGTCTGCTCAGAGACTATTCCTTGATGGACTTTAAGGAGGAAGAGGACGTCTGAAGATTTCCCCCTTCCCCCTACTCCCCCTTGCGTGTCTTTGTCTTTTCAATAAAGCTTCGGGCTTGTGTTTCCCCCCCCCCCCACACACCCGATGCCTATTGTTGATCGTAATATCCGGTTTTCGTTTTTGCATGCATTAGTATTTTTAGGAAACGTAATGTGTATTAGGATGCTATAGTTTCGGGGTAAGCGGCGTCATGCATGACGTGGTGGTCGGGGGGATTCATCCTCTACGCACATCACGTCAGGCATCATACCGCTGAGCGAATGTATTTATTTCTGAATGTATTTATTGTATGCTTGGAACTATATTGCTATGTGGTGCGCTGCGTCGCAGTATAGGGTGAGATGTACCCCGATTACCAGTATCATGTTGTTTTTGATACTTCTGTAATAAAAGTTATCTACCATGCACTGATCAATGTGATCAAACTCATGCCCATTGGACTACGCAGTCATAATAAGACTTAAAGAAAAAATGGAGGCAAACTGTTAGTCTATCGATCTATCTATCTATCTATCTATCTATCTATCTATCTATCTATCTATACTATGAATACAGTGACAGTACTGTCAGTTTATGAGGATTATTTGAACAATGCAGACCAATCTAAGCACATTGAAGGATAAACCTCAGTTGCAAGGTGTTGGATGCATGGCATTGTATACATTGTGTACAGCAAGTTCTTCACTATAATCTATGGGAAATCATTGCTAAAAGTCAATGAATCTCCATCTTCAAATTAAAAGTGACAAAAGACAGCTTGGGTCAAGACATCTATTGGCAAATAAAAATAGTGCTGTCATGGGGGTCACATGGTTTTATTAATAAACAAAGTATGTTACACAGTGCCTGGGTCTCACGGTGCACTGCAGTCCAACATGGCAAAATGAGAAATTAATGGTGACCTTGGTCTCAAAAGGTGATATTGAGGTTTTCACATTCATACCTGACAGCTATGTATTCTATGACTTCCCCAATCTGCATACCTTTTCTGGGTTAACGTGAATTAATAAACCAGAGGGTCATCATAACAAATGGCCAAATTAATTTTCAAAAGGAGGTCAGCAACAGCAACCTTACTGTTTATCTCATAAAAATTTTACCAGAAAATAATCTCTTGCAACACCAAAGCAGAAACATTCAAGGCTCATTCACCCTATTGAGTTGCCTTAACACCTGAAAAAATGTGAGTTGCATTGTGTGTAACCACAACACCTTTTTGCTTTATAGTGATGTTTATTTCAAAATGAATGGACAGCCTTAAAAGAGAAGTGTGGGATTTAAAAAAAAAAAGCAAAAATCATACTCACCTAGGTAGATACAGCATCAGTTGGATACTGCATCTGTCCCCCACTGCATCTAAGACCAAGGACCGAGGTATAAAATCCTTCTGATCACTCAATTCTTGGTCTGTGAGCAGAAAGCAGGTTATTGTCAGTTACCAGCTCTCTGCTCTACACTGGGCTTTGGAGGGGGTCAAAATGGCTGGATCAGGCTCTCAGCTTCACACTGAGAGGCTGAGCCAGCTGCTGGTCAGGCATCTGGGTGAATACTGACCATATGGTTGGGATCTTTTCAGAGCCTGGACCGGCTCTGTGATGCTGAGAGCCTGAGCCAGCCAATCTTGTCCCATCCACAGCCCAGTGCTCCAGTGAGAGCTGAAGGGGCAGAGCAGAGAGCCGGTTACTCGCAATTAAAAAAGAGCTTTGGCCCTACTTCTCCTTTAAATATTCATGGTAATGTGTGGTGCTAATAGGGTTTCATTCTCTGTTGCTTAAATTCTTATTGTTTTATTTGTCTCTTGAACTCCAGACCTTGCAGCGGCTCCATCAATCTCTGCCGGAAGTGTCATTTCAACTTCAACCCATGCTTTCCACAGCCAGTGGCCAAGGCAGGGATCTGGGATAACTCATACACTGACTCTTGACTTATCCTCCAAGCCACCTAACAAGCCTCTGTACCCCACAGTTGTTTGTGAGGGCAATCATTGATTTTATTTGGCCATTTATCTCATTTATGCATGCTATACTATGTGGTGTGAACTCCTCTCTCTCCTTTCTACATTTATGATATGCTGTATTATACAGATACTGACAGTTCCATCTCATTTAATCTTTCTTTTACTGATGATTTTAAATAAAATGTTGTTATACTTTTTTTTATACAATATGTCACTACGATTTAAAGTTCCAAGGGATGTATATATTTTGTAGTTAGTTATGATTAGGGACGTGGGTAGTGTGACACTGTAAACCTCATCATTTTCTCTTTAATCTTTACAGGGCAGATATAAAAGACATAAATTAATACAGCTCTGTGTTTATTAATACATTACTAAATGCACTTATTAAATAGAATCAGTGTAAGTATCTGACCTTGATTTGGTATCAGCCTCTTGCTGTTCCCTGTGCTACAGAGCTCACACTGGGGAAGGAAGAAGCAGCACAGGGAGCCAATCAGTTCTGTTACGGTGCATGCTTATAGGAGGAAAGATCAGAGTTACACATAGACAAGCTCATCAACTTCCTGCATATCCTTTCATTGTACAGTCACAAGGTGGAGGAGGGACAAGACCTCTAAGGTCTCATTTACACAGGCGACTAAAAGGCAGTAAGAACATGAAGTTTAACAGTAGTTTTTCACCTGCCAACCACTAAGCCAGAAGTTAGCATGGGGGGGGGGGGGTCCTTGTTAGTGGAATAGCATGCACTCCCATGCATGGGCATGCATTACATGCGGTTGCATAGTAGTTGCGGCATGGTGTTCCGGGCTGTCAAAAGGGTTTATTTACCAAAGACTGCAAATAGACTGTGCATAAGTGCAGTTGTACTTTGCAAATGTAGATGCTCCAGTGTTTAGTAAATGAGATAAAGCTTCACTTTGCATAAGAATACCTAATCACGTACAAGGAAAAACACACATTTTTTTTGCTTGCACATGATTGAATGATGGAAGTCAGCAGAGTTTCCCCCATTTACTAAGCTCTAGAACAACTGCACTTGCACAGTTCTAATGCACTTACAAAGTGCACAGTCTATTTATCTGTAGAAAATCCACCTGAATCAGTAAAACAGACAAGAATAGGAATACAGGAAGTGACATATTGCCTCTGAGCTGGCTGTCAACTGCAGGAGATCCATGACTGAGTACTTATCAGAGGGGTGGTAAAATGATGGGCACATATAAATGAGGTCATTCTGTAACTTAACCACTTCCCGTCCAGCCCATGTACATAAACGGCCGGATGGGAGCAGTGCAGAAGCGGGTCTCCAATTATAAATGGACCACTGCCTGGGAGCGATGCGGCGCCAGCTGTGTCCTCCGGACACCGATTGCTGTATGGGACCTCACCAGATTGGCCAATCAGTGATCACATGAATAGTAATAAACAAGATGTCACTTCCTGACATCATTGCTTACTACTAGTGAAATCTGTGAATGATCACAGAGGTCACATGGTACAAGGCTATTCACAACAGCCTTGTACCATGTGACAAGCTGTGACCAATCACAGCTCACACAGTATTTCACAATGGCTGCAAGAATGCAGCCAGAGAGAAGGAGAAATGATTGCTTTTACAGCCTTTATGGATGTAAAAGCGATCAGTGTAAAAAAAAAGAAAAACAAATCTTCATCACCCCAAGTAGTACAGTGTCACACTGTGACGTTATGTTAAAAAATATAACCATAATAATGTAAAAAAAATAAAAATGTAAAACAATTTTTAGTTAAATTATAATTTTTGGTTGTAAACTAATTTAGGTTATTTTTTTTACTAAAAAGATAGCTGAATACATTTTGGCCAAGATTTATGAAGAATATTTATTTGCAAAATTTTACAAGAAAAACACTTTTTTTCAAAATGTTTGGACTTTTTCATTTATATAGCAAAAAAAGAAAAATCCCAGTGGTGAATAAATACCACCAAAATAAAGTTTTATCTATCTAAAACATTCATATGGGTACAGTGTTCTATGACTGCGCAATTGTCATTCAAAGTGTGATAGCACTGAAAGCTGAAACTTGGCCTGGACAGGAAGGGGTGAAAGTGATCGGATTTGAAGTTGTTAAAGTATAAGTTCGGGTTAATTCTAACTAAGCTTAAACCTGCTCCCAACCCCACCCTAAACTAACAATCCTGTAAAGGAAAGATGTGTATAGTTATAAATATCACCCAAACTGTACTCTCCGCTCCTCGCACAACCTCCTGCTCTCTAGCTCACTTATCTCCTCCTCCCATGCTGGTCTCCAGGACTTCTCCAGAGCTTTCTTCATCCTCTGGAACTCTCTCTACCCCAATTTATCAGACTATCACCTACTCTGCTCACTTTTAGGCAACCTCTGAAAACCTCTCTCTTCAGGGAAGCCTATCCTGCCCTCAGCTATTAATGGAATCTTTTATTCCTCCTACCAGTCTATCCCCCACAGTTATTACCTTATGTACCTTTAGCCCCTCCCTCTTAGATTGTAAGCCCCTAGGATCAGGGCCCTCCTATCCCTCTTGTATTGAACTGTATTGTTGCTGTATTGTCTCCCGTCATATTGTAAAGTGCTGAGCAAACTGTTGGCGCTATATAAATCCTGAAAAATAATAATAATAATATACTTACCTAATTTAGGGCACGTCAATCCAGTCACTTGAAATGTATACGCAAATGTAGTTAACCCTTTTCTTTAAACTGTTGCCACCATCCATATGCATATAGGTGGCAGCATAACGGCGGGCATCAGGGGCAGACTGACAACTCATGGGGCCCTCGGGCAATAGAGGATTATGGGGCCCCTGTGTCCTTGCCCCAAACTCAAAAAAGCCTATGAAAAAGGTACCAGGGGCATCTCATGGGGCCCCCTACTGACCCCGGGTCCTCGGGCAGTGCCGAGTTTCCAAATGGTCAGTCCGCCCCTGGTGGACATAAACACCATGTTGCCCCACAAATGCATACAGCCAGCTCAATCGCACATCTCAGGCACTGTAACTGCACTGTCACCAACAACAACTGGTCCTAGATTGTAAGCTCGAAAGAGCAGGGCCCTTGAACCCCTCGTGTATTGTTTTGTTACTGTATTGTCTCATGTTCTGTCCCCCACTATAATGTACAGCACTGAGCAAACCTTCTGGCGCTATATAAATACTGTATAATACTAATAATAATTTAGCAATGATCGCAAACTGGTAGGACAGATTCTCAGTCATGTGACCACTGTGACAGCCAGTCTTGGTAATACCATGGCTGGGAAGCCATTGAAATGCTTTTCACATTAAGAGCCCCTTTACGGGTCCATTTTGAAGGGCTTGGAAGATTCTTTATAACTATTTTAGTCTACAGAGGTCACATCAGTGAAAGAGGACTATCATATTAGGTTGGTAAAAGCACCTATACTTTGCACAGGCACCCAACAATAATGCAAGGCATGGAAGAAGTTACTAGCGTACAGTTTGTGCACATATAGAGCATGTGCACATTGTATAGATTTGTGAGCTGCCAGCAAGGACAGTGATGTGTGAATCAGGCCCGGGTCTAACATATTGTACTGACTGCAACTTGATATGTAACGTCATTTCTTCTCCTGAGCTGCTCATGGTCCATTTACTTCCAGAGCCTTACGGGTTTCAAGTCTTAAAAAAAACAACACAACTGCCAGTTTTTTAAATAAATAAATAAAAGAAGAAATGTTTTAGTTTTATTATTTTTGATTTATCCAACCATCCCATATGGTCATGTTTTGTATTCTGTGTCTGTTTGCGTAGATACTTTCTTAAGGAGACATGCATCTGTCATAAGTCACTAAGTCATAACATTTTACATCTAACAGAATGAGGCATATAATTCCAGATTCTAGGCTATTACATCAAAAAACAACATTAAAAATAGCCAAGCTTTTCTTTTTTTTTTTTTTTTTTTTTAAGTGGACCTAGCATCAGATTTTTTTTTTTTTTTCATTTTAAGTGCATGCAAGCTAGGTAATGTGCAAGTGTAACATTTACAGGTATTCATTATCCATCTCAAAGATCACAGTGATCCCCCTGTCATTTTTTATCTGTTTTTCTTTCTAGAAAGATGAAGCCATCCATGTTATATATTTGATTGCATACAAGAACTATTTTCTGTTTTGGTGATAGTGCACTATTTATATTTTTGAAACAGGAATATATTAAATATCTATGCATTGGGAAGATGTGGTTGAAGCTTTTAACCACTTGCCCTCCTGAAGATTTACCCCCCTTCCTGAGCAGGCCATTTTTTGCGACACAGCACTGCGGTACTTTAACTGACAATTGTGCAGTCATGCAATGATGCACATAAATGAAATTTACAATCTTTTTTTTACCACCCATAGAGCTTTCTTTTGGTGGTATTTTATTGCCTGTGCATTTTTTATTTTTTTGCGCTATAAAAAAAAGACCGATAATTTTGAGAAAAAAGCATTATTTTTGACTTTTTGCTATTAAACATGTCCAGTAAAAATGTTTTAAAATTAAATCTTGTCATAAATTTAGGCCAAAATGTATTCTGCTACATGTCTTTGCTAAAAGAAATCCCAATATGTGTAAATTAATTGGTTTATGTGAGAGTTTACAAATGGCGATATATATACTAGGATTTTTAATTTTTTTTTAAGTTTTACTAGTAATGACGACAATCAGCGAGTTATAGCGGGACTGAGGCGGGCACTCGGGGGAGCTGACACCAATACATGGATCAGTGCTAATAAAAACCACTGACACTGTACTAATGGCACTGGGCAGGAAGGGGCGATCAAAGGGTCAACTGCGTGCTGTTTTACTGTGTGCTGTGTGTGCTTCACTGTAAGCACACTGCTATGCATGGCTCTGCTATGCAAATCCATGCATAGCAGTGTGCAGGAGCTGATAGGGGAGAGAACTGTATTGTTTACTCACAGTTCTCCCCCCTCTATCGGTAATGCTCCTCGATCACTGGGTGCCGGCGAGTAATCACAGGGCAAGACCTGGTGACTGACAGCCGATGATGCGAATAGCAGAGCGGGTAGGGCGTGCGTGTCCCCTACCCGGAAATGCAAAATCACGTAAATATACGTGATTTTGCGCTCCCGTGCCGCCCTGTAGCATTATTACTGCTATAGGGCGGACGGGAAGCAGTTAATGAGATTTATTTGATCATTTATTTTACTTTGAAATAGTTAACAGTCTCTAGTAAGAATGTGTTTATACTAAGTGTAAATGTAGATTATAAAGGTTATATGTAACTTTTGGTCTGTAACATTTTTATACCAAAAAACAGGGACTACGCTATCACATAGAACAGGGGTGTCAAACTGGTGGCCCTCCAGCTGTTGTGAAACTAGTCCCATCATGCCTCTGCCTTTGGGAGTCATGCTTGTAACTGTCAATCTTGCAATGCCTCATGGGAATTATAGTTTGGCAACAGCTGGAGGGCCACCAGTTTGAAACCTGTGACAAAGAACTTCAGCTCAAGCTTATTTATTGCAGATATTTGTCATAACAAACACAATATACAGTCAATTTAGACTCTTACACTCTAATTTGAGACCGGCCTTCCACCTCAAGGGGCCATCCCAATTATGTTGGGAGAGCGGACTTATGCGGTTGGAGAAGTGAGGAGAAGAGGAGATACACCATTTATTTATTACAGGTGCTTACTGTATATAGCGCCATCAATTTACGCACTTTACATATATATACTGTACATTCCCATCAGTCCCTAACCCACAAGGAACATACGATCTAAGGTCCCTAACTCACATTCATACATACTAGGGCCAATTTAGACAGGAGCCAATTAACCTACCACAATGTCTTTGGAGTGTGGGAGGAAACCGGAGGACCCAGAGGAACCCAAGCCGGCACAGGGAGAACATGCAAATTCCAGGCAGGTGGTGCCATGGCTGGGATTCGAACCAATGACCCCAGTGCTGCCAATGGAAGTGCTATCCATTTAGCCACTGTTCTGCCCATGCCATTGTGCTGCCCATGCCACTATGCTGCCCATTGCTTTGGAAAGCCATGATAGCCATGAAAGCCAGGAAATCATCTAAGAATCTTCTTCAACAAAAGGTACCTAAAATCTTGGACAAAGAAAGCTTGAACTTAAAGGCAAATGTGGGGAGAGAAAGGCCCCCAAATATTTCTAGTGATCCAACATTCCAAGCAAAAAAAACAAATAAAAACAATCAACAGTTATATATAATACTTTCATGAATAAATGAATAATAAATTATATATATATATATATATATATATATATATATATATTTACATACGTGTGTGTGTGTGTGTGTGTGTGTGTGTTGATTGCTGCTAAAACATCACCTAGTGTTTTTCACCACACCACTGTAAGTACTGTATATCAACCATTAAAGATGCAGCGCAATAAAAACAATAAAAACAAAATTAAAATATAAACAATTATACAAACAAAAATTGACCGATCATCTAATAAATGTCTTGTGTCCATAAATAATTTCTCCACCACTGTGCAGTGATTCTAGAGTGTTCTACTTCCATCCAAATGTTGCATGCTCCACCCTGTGTTCACGCCACACTCTCACCTTCTTTTATTGAGCCCAATGTCATATTAAGGTAATAACATGCCTTTTGCCCCACCATGGGCTATTAGGTATAAGCTCTTTATCCTCCATCTGCAGTACTCCACTAGACCTTATTCCACTCTCTGGTAAATGTACTGGCAAATACAAAATGGAACCAAAATAGTGCTCTTTGTATATTCTTATTTTGTCTTTAAAATTCCAAACCAATAGACTCACATTAAAAAAGCACCCAGTGCTATGTTCATGCCCAAGAGAGCACAACATATGACAATTACATCCACATCTTCATATAACAATCTTTCCCAACAGTATGACTTCTGCTCCAATATGTGTTACAATCCTCAAGAGCTTCTTCAATTGGTCCAGTTAGTTATGCCCTTAATATGACATCGGGGTCAATAAATGAAAGTGAACATGTGGTATGAACAAAAAAGTGGAGCGTGCATCACTTGGATGGTAGCAGAAAATTCTAGGAATACTGTACAGTGGTGAAGGACTTATTTATTGAAATATAG